GTCGGAAACGACAGAAGCAAACCAAACGGATAGAAGAGATGGTCCGGCAGTCGGAACAGCACTTCGTAGCGATAGTTCCACAACAGATACATCGTTACCATTGACTGGACATCAGGACAATGCGAGACATTAGTAATCATTTATAAGATTCAGACAAAAGACATACAGAAATGGCGTAAAGAATGATATATAAGAAGACTTTGGCTTTGATTCTGAATATCGTCTGCGCGTCGGCTATGAATGCGATCATACCATCAGTTAATAGACAAGAATCACGTGATAAATGTGTGCATACATTGACTCTTGAGCTGATCCTTGGCTTTGTTTAGTTTGCGTTGAATTTTGGCGTATTTTGCGAACTCATCCGACATCGAGATGTCCGACAACTCTGTCTTCAGATCACGGATTTGTCGCCTCAAAGACTCCTCCATTTGGGTCTCATTGAGAAATACCGTCAATACCTGTCATATCAAGTGGTAAGTGATGCGAGATGTGGAGGAAGTGGTCAAATGTCTCACAAGTTTCACGATTAGTGGTATAAAAGCGTTGAAAAATCCCCAAAACGTGACGAAAAGAAACAAATTGTAGTTATAATTGCTTTTGGGATCCATTTGTGCGGTCATTATCTCATGTCTACCACTGTTTCAAATGAATACTGAGTAATGGTTTGCATTCAAATCAATCATTTAATTCACATTTCATTTGTGTTTTGAACGTCAAGTAAACATCGATTGCATAACAAGTCGTGCAAACAATACAGACATCTATGGAGTGATGGCTTTATTTTGCTACAAGTTTTGGAAAACTTTTATTTTAGAAATTCAAACACAATAAGTTGTAAAAATTAATATATAATTTAATTTGATAATTAATGAAACAAAATGTTCAAAATATATATTTGAAAAAATTAATTAAACATTAATAGCATATAACAAATGAATTAAAACATAAATATTATGTTTTGGCTCTTTTAGAGGCAAATCGTTTCCACTTCTTCTCATCTTTCAATCGGTTCATGTCATCATTGGTTCGGTCGACAACTTTGTGGTGAAGACTCCTATACAGCTGTTCCGCAGCCAACGAATTGCCCATAATTTCAGTCAACTCCTCGACACTCAATTCAACCAAATGTGCGATACATTTGACTGAATTCATGATTGAATAGACATTAGTAATGCTAACCCCTGGAAGGCATAACAGGAACTCCTTGGTCTCAATGTCATACTTGTCGGTCACGTACTCGGCGGGCAACTGTTGGTTGGATTTGGCCAACACTTGCTTAGCGTCCGGTTCCTCCCGATCCTGTTTCAAGTGCTCAAACATTTCGGCGCTGAAGTGCGGGGACGGAGACCACAGGAGTCGAAGTAATGGGAAATGAATGGTGAGGACCACTAACTGTGACATTACGTTGGGTCGACCCGTATGGGAGCCACTGATGGGTGCGTTGTGCCCCCAATACTTGCCTTTGAAGTTAAACGACTTCTGGTCGTCAAACTCAATGAGCAGAAGCGGCCGCTTATAGTAACGGACCATCACTTCTGTTTGGGTGTAGAGTCGGCCAGAATTGAAGGAACCGATCAAATCACTCACAGATTTGCGTTCAACACATGTGTCGGGGGTTAGTATGTAATCCCCGATTTCAATGGTCATGGGCTCGATATCTATACCCCTTTTGTGTATAAGTGTCGGCAAATCTGATCTAAACTCTCGCATATCTATAATAATGCGTTTCGTTGGCATCACTTGCGAAGAGGATGTCTGTCCGCCGCCAACACGTGGATTGGATTCCAATATAAAGCTGTCATCACTGCCACGAATCAAATCCGGATGAGTGTCACTCTTTCCGTCCCTATCGGATGGTATAACCAGTGATGCTTTGGTTTTGATGAGTGTCTCGAACGCCTCCTTCTCGATGTGTAAGGTCTTGAGATACCTCTGCTCTTCAGCTGATCCGTCGTACATAAAGAAGTAGACTCTCACCGATTCAGACGATAAGTATAACGCCTGATAGGACTCTATTTGTCGGATACTTTGCATATCGGGATCGTATAGAATGACATACTTTGGCCGCAACACTGTCAGCATATTCTGCAAATGAATGCCCTTTTGGTGCCAATTATGGTAATGGAGTTCCAGTTTGTGTTCTCTGTGTTCAAAGCTCTCCTCACACTTCGAGTAAGTCCTCAACAATTGTGTCAAAGTCTGTAAGTTTTCATCCGTTTCTTCACTCGTTTTCTTTGATTTGTCTTTGATTTTAGTCTCACTCTTACCACTCAATAGCAGTTCACACTTTGCGTGCAATTCTCGCAAAACAATGTCCACTCCTTTGTCGCGAAACTTCTCGAGACTGACGGCTGTATTCATGTTCTCTACGATCACTATTATGTCAATCGTTTCGCACATGTCTTTGGTTTCCGTATCGATCTCTTGTATCACTTCGTGAAAGGCATTCCATTTGGGATTTATCTCAATATCGATCACTTGTTTGCCTTTCTTCGTGGCGAAGAGTCGTTCTTTAGATGCAGTGAACAGTGTCTCCGATGGCTCCCAGAAGAGCCAATCAGAGGTCTCGGCGTTGAGGACAACACTTTGGCGAATGGCTTTGATTTCGTGGTAAAAGGTGACGGAATCGGATTGAGTCAAACTGAACAGCAATTGCTTCAGGCGTTTGATGTCCGAGACGGTGCGCCTACACTTCGCACTCAACTGATACCAAATGGGATCAAACTGTCGTTTGACCATCGAATCAAAGTTAAGTGATATGACATTCATGGCGTTGAGTTCATCGCAATCGTATAGAAAACTATTGTTAGAATTTGTCAACTCTTTGATACACAACGAGATTAAGTCCATTAGCGAGAACTGAATGCTTTTCATGAGTGGTGTCATCGACAGCCGGATCTCCAAGACAGTCGGCGCGCTTCTGGAGCTCAACGACTCGGTGATGGAGACGTGAAATCGTGGCCACAGATAGAGTTTGGTGGCGAACAGGTATCGCATAATTCGGTCCAATTTGGCGAACTGTCCGATGAAGGCGTGACTGGTCTGCGAGAGTGCGCTCACGAAACCAGTCTTGTTGTGCATCCGATAGAGTCGGACAATGAATGCCTGCAAACAGTCGGTGGCGATGGTGTGGGCGTTGTATACGATCAGACCCGACACCAACTCGAAGGGCACTCTGGAGGTCAACATATCGACCACAAGAATGCGGGCCGTAATGAAGATAACGCCGCCATTCATGTAGACATCGCGCCGATCGGCCGCAGAGCAGGTCTCAGCCGTCAGTCGTCGCGGTCTTTGGCCGACAGTCGACGTGTCGGCCGACAACTGAGTGATGATATAGTCCTCGAGTTCAGCGTTGGTTCCGATGACGAGAACCAGTTGTGTCTTCTCTGAATAGGTGGCCGTCAAGTGGTGTAGGAGTCGGTCGATACAGTCGACGTGTCGGCCGACAACTGAGTGATGATATAGTCCTCGAGTTCAGCGTTGGTTCCGATGACGAGAACCAGTTGTGTCTTCTCTGAATAGGTGGCCGTCAAGTGGTGTAGGAGTCGGTCGATCGCCACCCCTTTCGAGGCAATGGTCAACGAGTTGTCGTTCAAGACGTTCAGAAACATCTCTCTTTCAAACTCCAGGAGTTGATCGCCCGGTGTGTCCGTCGATGACATGTCCGGTGATTGTCTTCACGGCCGTCGCAAACAGACAATCATTTGATGCGAAACTTGTCAAACATTTGACAACGAAATCAAATGTATGTTTGAAAGCAAAAGCAAAACAAAACATTTCGCTCATCAATAATGTCAATACAAATGGTGTGAGAATTGCATTGAAATGAATGCAAGTGTTTACGAATTATTGGGTCGTAAACAGTGTTTACATAACACATGATATCGTATGCAATAGTATTGCATGTGTTGTGCGATTACATCAATAGAAAGTGAATGAATGAGTGAATGAATGCTGTGTTTAGTGAATACATCAAAACATCAGTTCATTTGCGATTCACTTGTGTTTCGTTTGACTCACAGTTAAGACACGTTTTGGTCATTGAATTGAAGTCTTTATCTACACTTCATGAATGCATTGACTGATCGGACCATCGATTGTGCCCTTAATGGCAGACATGAGTTACATCAAGAGGTATAAAGAGGACAAAGAAGACAAACTCATGAAACACAAGAAGCAGATTCTGGTAATTGTTATCACCCTTTGATCCATTGATGCACTAATGCTTGTGTCCATTGATGTACAGAAAAAAGTGGCCAAACTATACAAACCTGATTTGCAGGAGATTTGTGTGAAGCACTCGCTCCCGAAGAATGGCACGAAAGACACACTTCGGCAACGGATCCAACAGTTGATTGAAGACCACGTGAATTGTGAGCACAAGTGGACTGAACTGAAGAAAGAGATTAAACGCGTCTATAAGGCAAACGACAGGATCAAGAAGTCTCCCAAAAAAGGTGTCGTTTTGTTGATTATATTGAAGTGTTTTGTGAATGCAATCAATGGTTGTGTTGACAATCAGTTTGACTACACTTTTATGACTTAATGTTTGTGTCATTTGATGACTAATTGTGTCTGATTTGCAGCCAAACCGAAGAAGCCATCGGTTAGTGGTGCGGATGGAGAGGGAGACCACGACTACGACGACTACGCCAGTCATGAGAGCCAACCCCACAACGAGCCCAACGTAGGACTGGACGGCAATCTCTCGGCACCTGTACTTAATATGCCAAACCCAACCACATGTATGAATGAATGCAATAACAACTATAGTCTTCTGTCATATTTCAAGTCAACGACACCCCAATCGATGCCTTTCTTTAATGGTGTGTCGTCTCAACCATTGAATTCACAACAATCACATCCAACGCATCCACCATTAGCTCAACCACTACCACATCCACAGTCTAACCATCCGCTCAACTACTGCACTGCAGGGATACCGCCATCGATGACCACGAGTGGAGTAATGCATGCAAATCAGGTCCACAATCATAATGTCAGTCATAGCCAACCATTTTATAGCCATACGAATCCATTCCCTCTAATGGGACCCCAGACCGGGGTTCCGCCGCCGCCGCTGTTTAATACCGTAAACTCCAGGCCAGCGTCAGCTCAGCCGGTAGTCAGACACCAGTCGCCCGCATATAACGCGTTCAACTCATTCCCTCCCCATCCGTATCCCCAACAGAACTATCCATTTATGGGAACCAATCATAACAATCATAACAATCATAACAATAATTATTATCAAAATTCAAATACCGCTCAAAACTTAAGTCAACAAAACTATTATCAGAATCCGAGTGCTCCTGATCTCGACCTCTTTGACTGTCAAAACCCACAAAACTTTGATCTGTTTGTCAAACAACAGAAGTTCTTATTATCTCAATACACGCCGAAACAGACCACCGATGGCGACGATAATGTAGATGATTGCGATCACCCCATAGGCCACGAGTTTTCTTTCAAGGCGTTGCAGTCGTTTACTACCATTAGGAGGCTTTTGGAGGCGAAGACTATAGGTTTGTCTCGCATTTGATAATCCATTGATTTTTTGATAGTTTAATCATGTTTTGGCTTTTGATAGGATCTATTTCAGACATTGGCTTCAATATAGAGTTCAATATAAATCTGGTGGACTTGGATGCAAATAATTTTAACGCTAATCTGCAGTCGCTTTTGCGAGAAAAGTCTTATCAAATCCAACTGCGGTTTAGTTATATAAGTGATGTTCAAATCAAAGAGCAAAAGGATTGTATTCCAGAATTCCTATGCATTGAATGCAATAACACTCGTGTCTTCACTTCCTCTCAGGTTTTATACTGAAAATTACGTAACAGTTAAGGCTTTACTAACTATTTATGTTTACAATTTTTCGTTCAATAGTTTGAAGAGTTGCCTACTCCGGGTCCCTTTGATTTGAGCGAATGGTGTGTTTTGGGGCCAAATAAAGTCAGGTTTTGGATGTCTAAAGAGAAATACACTTTTTTGATGCCCTGTCTCTACGAAGTATCGGTCGTATCGTTTGAAACGCCCGAAACATTTCTCTATAAACTGAAGGCAAACGGCACACAATTTCTCGGCTCACAGACAACCAAAGACTTGAGTATTAAAAGACTTAAATGTTATGTAAGACATGAATACTTATAACACTTCTTATAAAACAGTCAAATCCCGGAGCGAACAGCCTTCACACGACGATATCATTATTAGTATTACAAATACAACCACTAAAGTGAAACTCATTTGTCCAGTAAGTATTGCTGTAATAATAATTGTATTGTATTTTAAAAAATATGTTTAAAAATATAATTATTTGATGAATAGCTGAGCTGTGCTCGCATTGAGACCCCGTGCCGGACAGCCCACTGCAAACACATGGAGTGCTTTGACGCGCATTCGTTCTTTAAGGCCAACGATTGCCGATACGACTGGTTGTGTCCCATCTGCCAGAAAGCGGCTAACTTTGAATTACTCCGAATCGATGGGTATTTCTATAGGACTCGGCATTTATTATGAAATAATTAATCAATTGTCGTCTCATTTAATAGTTATTTCAGTGAAGTGTTGGCCAATACTGACGATAACATAACCGAAGTGTTCATTAAATCTGATGCTTCGTATGATGTGATAAATAATGGTTTGTGTTTTGAGATTAAATGCTTCAATTGTGTGTCAATTAATGATTGATTGCTGTTTTAGTGGCAACTGCTCTGCAAGTGATAGAATTGGATGACTCTTTAGATGATTTCGAGTGCAGTGTTATCGATACGGACGGCTGTATAGTAATTGATTGAAAATTAATTGCACTTAATTTGCAAGTTTTGTTACATATATCTATTTGTATGAATTATTTTTTCATAATTTTTAAGCCATTAAAAATTTTGTTTATTTTAATAATAAATATTTTATGAGCAATATTTGCTAATCATAGTACAGGTTATTGTGTAATTGATTTACTAAATCGAGTAATAAAGTTAAATTATACGATACCGTATAAATAATACATTTAATTTTGTAACAATTTTTATTATTTTATTCATAAAACAACTATTTAAAAATATAACTTTCAATTGACTTACATGTACAGTATGTTTTAAAAATAATTACCGCAAATGGCATTTCATTTCTCAATGATACAGTATATGATACCTAAAGTTGATGTCCTAAATGATATGTAAAAACTTTAGGCCGTACTAAATAAGTGAGGCAAATTTTATTACGTTTAATTAAATACTGATTCATTATGACCGTAATGAACAATAAATTAATGTCAATAATATATAAAGTATTACAATATTTTCAAATGTTTATAACAAAACGATAATAATTAAGAAAAATTAATAATTAGGATTTCTAATGAGATTCAATCAGAATGTGGGCTCAGTTTTCACTCTCACAGCATTGGACGCGCGATAACTCTGCTGGGTTTCAATGGGTGGGCGCCACACATCTCTGGGATCACAGAACTCAAGCAAACCCTTGTCCACAAAGCTTTGAAAGACGTGACGGTCGGGTGTAGTGGGGGTTCTCAACGACTTGGTGTATAAATCGATTTTCAGAGGATATGTATTGTTCTATAAGTAAACGAAAACTGTTTTAATCTATAGATAGCTATGAAAAAATAGAGGCAAACCTTAAAGCGGGCAAAAATGCCTCCCGTTTCCGATAAATGAGTCAAATGATGGGTTATTTTCTTTGAAAGATCCAAACATTTAGACCACAACTGGTTTTTGGGTGGCTTTACGTTAAACAGTTCGCAGAACACTGAGTGCGCCCTCGGCTTCATGTGTTGTTTGTGTATCACTTTAAGACTATTCCATACGATACCATAGTTTTATCAATCATTTCAATAATACATAACAGAAGAAGTACTCACTCTTTGAAGTCAACCCATTCATTGTTTCCGTAGTCAATGTAATAGACCAGAGCTTTGCGTTCATCAGTTTTGACACTAACTATGAGTCCTCTATACCACGTCTGGTCCTCCATATAGTAGGCCAAACAGGGCGCACCTCAAGAACAATCATATTTCACATTTAAATACCATTAAAATCAACATTTTCTCGTTTTCTCTAACTGTAAATTAAAATCATACCCTCAGTGACAGTGTAGAGCCGATGATAAGTGTTGACATCCCGTCTCATATTGTCCAACATATTAAGGAAGGCTTTGTGTTCATCATTGATGATGTGCTCCCTATTAACAGGTGACTGCACTTCACATACATTAAAAAATGTATACTTGTTGGCCAACTCGTAGGACACGACCACTTCGTACCAACGATTCACTTCGAATACAATGGGATATAAGCCATATGTCTGTCCAATGATGGCCTCAATGTTCATATACTCTGCGACGGCATCACTCTCTTCGTTGGCGTCAGCGGCCAAGAGGTTGAGTGCATCGAGATGTGCGACGAGAGACGTATAACTGTTGTCCTCTTTTATATCGACACTCACTTTCATGGGATCCGTTGTGGGAAAGTTCTAACAAATCATTCAAATAGTATAGTCAACACAATGTCAACAAATAAGAGTTCAATGAGTACTTACTTCCCAAAAGTAGCGGCACTTGTGATCCAATACCTTATGATATATAAGATCCCGGATCGCTTTGTCCGCCTCATCATCGCGGGGTTTAATGTTAATCATGTGACACCTGATCGCCAGTTTCGGTGTATTTCTACCAAACACTTCAGAACTAAGTCTGTCCACAAGAATCGACTCTTGATTGCCGTAATCAACGTATTTGATAATAAGTCGCGACTGACTGTCCTTTCCCTGGACGACGCCTACAATCTCGGCCCGATTCCATGTCTTATCGTAATCGAAATAAGCGGTGCAGGCGTTGCCTTTACTGAAGGGTCCGCCAAATGGGGCGAACTCTCCCTTCTCTTTCAATGTCTCCATAATCTGATTCTCTATTTGTGTGTTTGGTTGCACTTCCATATTCTCGTGGAACTGACGGAATGATATGTGGAACTCGTTGTTGACCACAAATTCTGTGGCGATTGCAAAGAAAGTGGTACCGTTTGGATACACTTCAGGCAAATACTTGAATTCGGGTCCGATTTGATTGGTGTCCGGTTTGTATCGTTTGCTCAGACACTCCAAAATGCTTTCAGTGGTCGTGAAGAGAGAGATCGGCATTTCGCGCCTTTCGTTGGGAACATCACTATTGATGGACATGTCGTCATCACTCTCTGCACTGACAGTGCTATTGGCGGACGAATCTGCTCTACATTTATAGGCCAACCCATTATCTATGAGAATCTGATTGAGACTCGTATAGACAGTCCTCTGTCTCTTGAAGGCGCCCGGAATTACGGTCTCTTTGAAGTATAGTTTCACAGGAATTGGCTCGCTTTCGATGGCATCGTTTTTGATGAGAACATACATGTCTTCGTGAGCGAGAAAGTCTTGGCACTTATCTCTGGCTGTGGCCGACCACCGGTCACCACCTGTCGGCTTAAGGCCGTGAAGGCGACACTTGACAGCATACGCGCCGTCCTTTTGGAACTGAGCAGTCAATGGACGCATTTGAGAGACTTTGACGGTATGTTTAGTGCCGTAATCGATGGCAAACACAGAGTATGTCGGCTCTTGTGGTTCAGAATTGCCTTCCAATTGAGTCAAACAAGTGATCACTTCTCCTCTTTTCCATTCATTTTCCTCTTTAAAAGCGCACAAATCCTTATCATTGTATTCAATGCCTGCCATCAATGGATGCCTGGAAGACGAGTACTCATTGTGTAGTTCCGTGTCCTGGGCTTCCGTGTAGTCCTTAACTTCAAGTTTAATAATTTGAATATAGAAATGGTCGGGAGTTGCCATTTGAGTCACTTTCACGTTGATAAGTGACGTGCGTTTGTCTGAATTGGAGCGCACGTGTCGCTCAACCAACTCTTGTAATATAATAAGCGCCGACACCTTCTTCTGCGCCATATTGGAGACCGGGTTCACTGTATTGAGACTCTCGACACTGGAAATGCGCGTAAAAGACGAGACCAATGACTCCTGAGAGCCCATCCTATCGCCCTCATCGGCCCTCGAGTGGGCGCCAGTGCTGTGAGCCTTACCACTCTTCACCATCAATTCGTTCACTTTAACTCCAGTGACGTTGCCGTCGAAACTCCTGAGCACAACCATCAGCTTCTCCTCATTAGCGTTCGTGCGCTGTATATCGTGGGCAGACATCGTCAGTATCTGCGGTCCCCTATCGTTGGAGATAGCGATCCGGAAAAAGTCAATCACCTCTTCACTCCATTTGAAACCATGCGTGGGCTCCACGTGAATGAGTCCGCAGATAATCGCCTGTTGGGGTAACTCGAAGAATGAGTCCTTCAGTAGTCTGAGGTTTGTATTCCTAATCCACTGTTGGTTCCCGAAGTCCACAAATCTGATGAGCGAATCAGTGGCCTTCACGCGAATGATGAGAGCCCTGTAGTACTTGTTGTCGCCAGAGAAGAGGGCCGCGCAGGGGATGTTGGCTTTGGGGCAGTAATACGTATAAATGCCATCGTTTTCTTCGGTATAGGTTTTGTTTAAGCTATCAATCATTTGCATGAGAGCCGTGTGTTGTCTCTGGAGCTGAACGTAGAACCTGTCGGGAGTCTCAATGTGTGACACCAACACCGACACAGTCCTCATAGTTTTGGGCAATTCCTCTCTTTTGAATCGATTTGTTTGGCTTTTCTGTCGACAATAAGAGCTGAAGTCTAGCTTATCAGTGGCCGACATATCGGCGCAATTGTTTTTGATCAACACCTCTATCACAGACGGGATCGGATACGTCACTTCTGGCACATCATAATGGATGAGATCCACGTATTTGCAGTCATTCTGACTCTCAATACTTATCAAAATCAAAGAGTTCTTCTTAACGTACAAATAAAACAGTCGTTTGGCTTCAGAACTCCATTCAGTGACTCGAGAACTGGTGGTCTGATGCGGTCTCACGTTATACAGCGAGCACTTGTAGGCAAAGGCCGGGTATTTACGGGCGTCGAACCACTCGCTCTTCTTCTCGCGCACGTTATACCAGTCGACCCGTTCGGACACTCCGTAGTCAACGAGAAAGACATTCGCCTGGAATGTAGGGTCACGTGTGAGCGGACACACCAAGTCATCGATTAAAAGGGTGAGCTCTGCTCTGCACCAACACTTCTTGACGTTTGAGTACACAAACAGAGACTCTCCCGGAGGGATGGCGTCCACAGAGGGCGGGTGGTTGTAGGCAGACGTACACACTTTGGCTATCGTTTCGTTCATTATCTCAAACTTCTCTCTGTCCGACACCTTCTGCACGTAGAACTTGTTGGGACTCTCGATGTGTATCACGTGAACCACTTCTCTGTTGATGGTGTCATCGCTTTGCTCCTCAGTCACCATTGGTATACCCTCTTCGGGAACCTCTTCCTCGTCGTCACTGAGACTCACATATTTGGTAATCTCTTCAGACCTTTCAGGCTCTGATGCGATCGCTGCCGCAGTCCGCAGTCTCTCGAGTTTGCCGTATGTCTTGAGCTGATCCTCGACTGTGGTCTCAAATACAAACCTGAAGTCATTTTGTGGCGATTCTATTGCAACGGGTTTTGAGTCGTTGACCAACTGGTCGATCGACTTCTGGAGTTGGATCCGCTCTCTGTCGGTATTGGTGTGACTGCTTTTCATGAGTTTGTTCTTAATGTCCGACCGTTTGGTCAGAATCTCATTCATGAAGACTTGTAACTCCTGCTGACGCGTCTCCTCCATGTCGTCCATCTCTTGTAAAAACTCTTTCTCTCTTATCTGAAGCAATGAATGGAATCTATGAAACATCTCTTTTGTGGTCAACTTTGAGCTCCGGAACCACTCTTTCGTCTCATCGGCGGCTCTTTTGATAGACATATGATTGGACGACAAGTCCATAAAGGATTTGACGCCGTTTTGGATGGACTCTTGGAATTTAATGGGCGCCGTCTTCGGGATCCGAGATGTGATTGTCTTCATAATAATGTCGTCTTGCGATAGATTATTGTCGGATGTGTTGGTCAACACCGACAGAGAGGTGGAAGCGGTGGGCGAATCGTCGTCTAAGTCTAAGTCCAACAGTTCCGGTGTCTTTGTGGCTGTAATGACACCGCAATCCACTCCGAGACCCAATTGATACAAATCCAGAGGAAAGAGGTTTGTGTCGAAACGCATCACTTGTGCGGGAGTTATGGTCGTGGCGTCCGTCCACTTCTTGATGTCGGACTCGTTTTGGGTGACACTCCTGGAGACAGTGTCGCCGATGTTTGTGATGACAGCACAGACCCAACACTTGACGAACTCTTTGTGTTGGCGACAGATCTCCAGAAGACATAACTCGCAGACAGAGTGTCCGCACGACAGGAGTCTTAACGGCACGAATGGATCCTCTTTTGTGGTCTGACTCTTGGATGACTTCTTTGCCACACAATCCGTGCGACTGCACCGACACAGACCCGACTTGTCTGACATGTTGTGGTGATGTCTTCAGAGCACATCCACAATCACTTCACGTCAAGTGATCTTTGCGTCGATCACTCACTCAATGACTAAATGTGTGACATTTGCTGCGAAAGTGAAACACATTTTTGAAAACAACTCTCAATTCAATGGTTGAGACGTTAAGTGTGTCTCAAAGGGGACGCAAACCATACAAACACTGACTCAACGCTTTAGCTGTGCTTTAGTGACAAAGGGTCTCATATTGGGCTCATTTATCGACACATTATTTACGCTCAAAATCTAAACTTTAATCAATGTTGCAATCAATGACTTTTAGACTAAATGAGAGAAATCCACAAAACTTTGAAAAAGTTTCAAAAGTGGATCAACTCTTGGCTCAATTTGTCTTATAAATAGGGATTTGATAATTAAAATGCATTTAATGTAAGAAAACTGCATTTAACATGAATTCAATAATTATTAGTAGAAATTCACGTGAAGTTTTTAAATCAATTGAGAATTTGATAGTCCGTTGAAATCATAGATACTTTTCACAAAACTTGAGTCCAATTAAAGATGATTTCATACAAAATGACGATTAGATCTCTTATCATAAGCAGTGGTAATACATTTATGCAAAATTTAAATTTCTGCCATCCTTTCCAACTAATCAAACAATTTTTGCAAAACAAACAGCTTTTCTGATGACATGTATTGTGGCAATCAGTGGTCAATCCATACACTTATGTCAGGGACTGAAGGATAATAAGGGAAGAATAGACTTCGCGCTGAATGTGCCGACCGGTACGTCCAGCAAGAAGTATATAATAATTGGACAAAACTATTGGGAACTGGAGTATGAGTCGAGTGGTAAAAGACGTCGGCGACAAATATTAGACGATATAATGGGTAGTTTGGGAATCAGATCGGGTCCCGATCCCACGCCATCGGGTGGCTCTTCGGATGGAAGTGTTCGGCTTAAGAATGAGTTCAGTCGACAGAGTACATGGCTGTCCGGCAAATACAGCGCCGGTTTTGCCATCAAGAATGGCGACAAAGGCTATACTGTGGCCTTAATTAACGTAAAGCCTGTCATCAGAATCCTAAACCCAATGATTATGTAATTGTGAGTCTATTATCTTACAGACCGACCAAAATAAGATCGTCTCGTCTCTGTTTCCGACAGACATCAAAGGGTTGGCATCAGAGGAGCCAAAGAAGTCGAGTTCCCTATCAATCGCCGCTCCTTTCAAACCGACCGTCGCTTACAATACGTATTCATATCGCGAGACCAATAGTGTTGTGTTTCTCGACCAAAGTGGTGATACGAAGTCGACTAAGATTCTGGTCTATAGCATAGCTGATCCGGAGGGCAAATGGGTTCAAATGGACACAAACGATAAACTCTTCGAACCAATGGTGTCGCCGCCCATCAAGAAGATGATGAAGGCTCTCACCATCAAAGGTGTGTTTGGGGTTCAGATGAGCGGCAAAAACGGAATCCTTGTGCTGACCGAGCGGTGCATTTCCAATGGGGTCAACACATACCCGTGCACTGGAAAAGTCACTTATCATTATTGTATCACTTCTGAGGCAACCGTTGATCCATTAAGAGGCGGCAAAATGGATGTATGTAATGATTATCTGATTTGAAATTAATTACCACACGGATGCCGACATGATGGACACGAGATCACGGTGGGCCGTTTCGTTTTTGTTGAGCATTTGACACTGTTTCTGACCGGATTTTTCGGTGGCGGTCCATACCGCGGACTTCTCCTACGCAATAGTGGCAAACCACCAAGATCACCTCACGCTATGGGAGCACAAGAAAATGGTAACAATACCCCCACTGAAACCAAACCTACAACTCATGGAAAGACTAATAATGAACCGACTAGCAGTAGCTCCTGGATCATAATTGTGATCGTTATTGTGGTAATCATCGCTATAATTGTTGCGCTCATTATTGCCTGGTTTTTGTGTATAAATAAGAAATCAGAGACCGAAGGTATTGATTGCTATTACATATTAATATGCATTCATTCATATGATTTAAATGAGTGTTTTGTGTGAAGCCATGGCAGGGACTCCTCCCTCTGATTCTGGTGTCGATAAGTCTCAATCAGTTCGCAGTGAATCAGTTGAATCCCAGGAAAGTTCAAAATCTGCCGTCACTTCCGGTATGTCGGCTGAAAAGAAATCAAAAGTGTCCGCGAAGTCCACCGCACCCGCCTCCAGGACTTCTACAGGAGCTAAAGGTTTGACCTAATAATTGAAATTAAATTATAGACAAAAAACTATAGTATTGTATTGTATATCATAGGATTGTATTCAAAAAGTGTTAGAAGTGCTCTCCCGTAAAGTGACCGACCATTCAATGACCACTTTTCCCTATAAATGTCGTCTAAATTTTTATATGTAATCTATTTATTCATTTTGTATTTTCTATTGGTTTTAGTATTTGTATTCAATTTCTAAATGGATTTTTCTCATATACTGTATTTCTTATGTTTCAATACAATATTTATTTAATTTATGATTTTTTATTTTTTACTAAAAATTATAATATAAAACAATTGAATTCGTGAACCAGAGAGAGAGAGAGAGAGAGAGAGAGAGAGAGAAAGGTACAGTATCATTTTAAAAATTAAATTTAAGTGGTCTGAATAGCCAATATGTTAGTGATTGAGCAAGAACAAATGATGAACCATACAAATGTCAATAAAATATCCACCAGTTATTCATAAACTCTAAAAGCAATCAAATAAAGCGAGAAATGAATGGAAAAAAAGTAGGAATTGATTGAAAAAAGTGATGAAAAGAGAGTTGAGTTGTTGTGTGGAGTCGACGCTGTGTTGAGTTGTTGTATGTTTTGAATGTGTTTTGAAAGACTGTATGACTGTATGACTGAACCCATGCATAGGTGTGTCCGCCCATACCTACCATACCTTTGCATTTCCAGTGAATTGCTTGAAAATCTCATCAATTTTTGTTTGTTTTAATCATTATTTGCATTCAATTTACTTTCAATTAGTTACCAAACTATGAAACCAAACGACAAATGATTTCATAATTCAATGCTTTTTCATATCATTTAAGTTTGCATTCAATTAGCGTTTAGTTTGTCTTTAAATATGTGTTTAATTAGTTTCATCGCAACCCTATTGTCATTGCTATCACTGGTGGTGACCATCGAGGGTCAGTTCAATTGGCAGACCAGGGATTCATTCGATGAGATCCGCAAACAGTTGGACAAAGTGGTGGAAGACAACTGCAAAGTGGTGGACATCAATGAGCTCTTCCTGCCGCAGTCATCCGTCACTCACATCCCGGACCTCAAGTGGTTGGGCATCG